TGTGTGTGTGTGTGTGTGTGTGTGTAAATACTGATGTAAACCTGAAAACCTATTGACACCCGCTTTTCTTTTCTTATTCAATGTTTGAACTTTTCTCAGGATGAAAAGGATTGGATCAGTTAAACACTATCTTTAGATCAAATTATTTTATTTCACATTTTGATCATTGCATATCAGAAACACATCTAATTCAAATGTTCCTTAGAATAAATCTTTGTCTGATCTGTCAGCAACCTCCTCTGTACTTATTTTATAAACGTATCAGGTCTGAAAGAAACAACCAATCAGAGTCAGCCTTCACAAAACTAGCCAATAACAGCAGCTCTGATAGGAGAATATTTTGACTGCTTAGCAACAGTCATGTTAAACTAGTATCAACCGGCTTCTTTTTGGGGTTTTTCCATTTGAACGTTCATGTTCCGATGTTTGGGCATACTGCCACTTTAAATAGGAAGACACTTTTAACAAATGTAATGACATCAGCATTATATCACTATATAACACTTTAAATTGGATTTTAAATTCACTGGGATGGGATTATTTATTTTAGGTGGCAAATAAACTGGGGATACTTATTTGTATATTAGTTGTAAATAAATGTGAGAATTTGTTGGAATAATATATGAAGTATTAGAATAAAAGGGGATTTTTGTTTCCTATCAGCAGTTCACTGTACAAAGTTAATTTTCTAGAACATTCCTGTTTAAAAAGAACTCCCTTTTGCACTATTTTAGATGAGAGAAAATCTGAAGTCAGGCAGTACAATATGTCGCATTGAAGGCAGCGAGCAGCGTTGAACTTAACAACGATGATTTTAAATGTATTTTAAATATGTAAAATAAATCCTTTTAGGGGGTAGGGATTTTAAAGTTTTGCTTTTACCTACTTCTTTTCTGACACTTACTTTTTTTAATTATCTTGTTTTAATTTTTGATTAAAAAAAGTATTTTAATCATTCATTCATTCATAGCCTACCTTATACCAAACTACCGGTGTTATTATATATAAATGGACTGTATGTGTAGTAAAGAACATTTGTCCTGAGGTCAGTTGAAGTGGGACTCAGCAGAGATCTTGTTTTTGTACACTGATCAGTGCTTTGTGTGTTTGCTGCCACTTAAAGGCACAAAAGCTTCTCTTAATTATGACAGCAGGTCTTTAATGAAGTGAAATATTATATATCAGAGGGTCATTTTACCAACCATCATGCAACACTTTCACATATTCACAGTCCTGAGTGGTTTCGAGATAAATTAAATATTAGTAAAAGTAAACAGCCATACACTCTAAGAAATTGCTTGTTGTAAATTTACAAGGAAATTACAACAGTATGATCCTGTTATTTTAAATACAGGACATTACTGTATTATAACGGTTTATAACAATAGTTTACTGTATTATTGCTTGAAGGAACCAAAACAGTAATTTACCGTAGTTTTTGCAATGCATTTTGGGAAAAAGAAGTTGAGACCACATGGTTGAAAGGACAGTGAAGTTGGCTTTGTCAGACTGTCATCCATCTCCATCCTGACAATTAAGAGGTGAGTGCCTTACTGCTTTGCTAGTTAGAATAGGCAAAAACCATCACTTACTAAGTTTGAAGTCATTTGTAGATTAACGTTTGCTAGATTTGGAAATTACTCAGAAACACTGAAGGCAGACACACATGCAGTGAGTGAATTCTTTGCCAGCTAACATTAGCTTGAAATACAGATCTTAACAGTTGCTAAATGGGACAAAAACAAAACATTTTCTTGTAATGTGGTTAACTAAGTGGGCTATAATGAACTTGACTTGCTTGCCTGGTTGTACTAGAATGGTAATGTTAGCTAACATCAACAAGCTAACATTTCTTTGTTTCAGCTTCAGCTTCAACTGAAACTGACTATTGATTAAATATTGAATTAGAAATGATAATTAGCTGGGCCTACTAGGCAATATGGCCATAGTATAAATAGTATAATATACAGTATTTGAAAATGTATAAAAGGAAACTTTAGTGAGACTGTCAGAATGGACCTGGAGCATGTTTTTTGTTTTTTACTGTTTTAACACATAAAGCTGCTGCCATACATCCTGAATTCATGTACTTAAAGTAATTCCAGGACTTATTTTTATTCATACTAGTTTTACTTCATACTTTTACTTTACTTCTTTGTATATGGAGAATATTCAGAAAGGATTGTCCATATGATAATGTTCACTGTTCAGCTGGAGCTGCTTTTGTTCTAATGTTGTTTTTTCCCTTTACAGAAGCAGTTTCAGTCTGGAAGGGGAAATCAGAGGGAGGTGCAGGTCCAGGGACCCAGTTTCCCTCAGAGGACAGGTTGTTTATTCACTTATGAAACTATAACAGATTATTTTTTCACTTCTCTGTTTAAAATGTATCCACCAAAACTCTTTTATGCACTTATGACTTAGACAAATGTGTTTTTCTGACATATCCGCCGCCAGCACCGAGGGGCCACGCGGCCACGGGTGCGGGGATCTCAAAACCGGTAATGATCCTTCAATGTAAATGTAAATATTTGTGCTAGAATTTTTGCCTATTTAACCTTCATGTTCTTAAAGTGTATTTTCTTTGTTTTTGTTACAGTTTCAATAAAGACAGATGTGGTTTGAGAAGACAGTTTGAAGTTTTATCATTTGTCTTAACATTTTAAGTTGCAATTTTAAAGGCACTGTTTATTTATTATGGTTTAGAAAATAAATATACTGTGTCCATTTTGGTAGAAGGAAATTAATCTATAGCTAGGTGTAGTATTTACAATTCACAGTAAAAATCTGCAAATAAACAGTATTAAACAGTTAATTCTTTCAACAGTATTTTCCTGTTAAGGTTTAAAATCACAGCTTTTTGCTGTATTTACAAAAACGGTAGAAAACTGTAAATTTCAGCAACAGCAATATACCGTTAATTTTACAGTAACTTCCTGGCAACCCTACTGCCAGTTGTTTACCGTTTTTTAACAGGGGGAATTTCTAAGAGTGTACTTAACATGTTCAGACACACATGTTAATACAGTAGCTGTATTTTCTGTTCTACCAAATAAATATCACAGTAATAACCACATCACCATCATACAACAGAAGATGCACTTTTGTTAAATGTCCACTAGGTGTCAGAAGAAGACATCATGAAATGATGGTGGATGAAGAGCCAATGAGCTCTAAAGCTGTGATGAGAACATTCACATGTCACTTTAATGAAATGATTACCTAAATGCAGACTGACTGTTAATGTCTGAAGTTTATCATCACCAACAGCAGGATCAAATATCTTTAATCCTTATACAAAACAAAGGGTGTAAAATAAATGTGTTAAGAGAGAGACAGACATCAAGTTTAAATCTAAAATGTAAGTTCTGCAGCTGCTACAACAGACTAAGTGTTTGGTTTTAGTCAGACTGCTGGTGTAACAAACAGAAGCATGGCTTGTGAAAAACTAGCTTTAATATTTAAAACAATGATCTGATCAGTTTCACCTTAATAGCTACATCTTAAGAGTTCAGAAAAACGACAATAATCCGACATCATATCACTCTGTTCATTGCTTTGCTTAAGATCTTACTGATCACTTTTAAAGCTTGTTTGTGTCTTGCCCAGAATTACATTTCTGAGATGCTGACTCTGTATGAGCCATCTCCTGATCCACACAGATCCTCAGGCGGGGCCCTTCTTGTAGGCTATTTCAGAAGTTGAGGCTCAAATCTAAAGGTGCCTTTTCCATCAGAGCCCCTTGAGCTTAAGAATAACAAGCCTGAGGAGATAAGAAGTGCCAAATCAGTCACCTTTTTTTCCTTTCGAGACCTGTTGTATGCATTTTGTTCCTTCATTTGAATTCATTCTTATTGCTCTTGGGTGTTTGCATTTGGTTTTTGCCTTTTTGTTTGAACTTTGTAGAACTCTCTCTTCTTAGCCATACTATTCTGCTTTGTCTGTAAAAGCACTGTTAACATCTATTCTTAAAGCTGCTATGAATAGAGTCATGATAATTATATTGTTTTACCATCAGTTGAGATCAGTGTTCAGAGAGTACTTACCATAGACGCTGTATGTACACACAGACACTAAAAGTTATAGTTAAAGCTGTTAGCAGATCAGTAATGGCTGTATTATTATTTAAAAAACTAAAATATAAAAAACATTTTGGTTAACTAAAATAATAATGAGGCTTTACCAAAAAACAAACACTAACTGAAAATATATTAAACTAACTAAAATACAATGAAATGTTTTGTCACACAGCCTATCCTTGTTTCCATTTTGGATGAGCTTGCAGACTGCAGAAGTTAAAACTCCCCCTCTTACTGATGCAATATGTTATAGCTTCTTTGTTAAGAAGTTGCTTGATATCCATCTCTGAAACTTTTGCGATAAAGAGACAAAAACAATGAAAACACAAACTAATAGATATTTTTTGTATACCTGTGATATTGAACGCTGTCATCTCTGTGCATCAGTGAAATGAACGGTATGGACGGAGTTCCTCTGAGGATGCCACAGAATGTCTCACAAGAAGTCAAAGACGACGTGAAAGTGATAGTTCCTGATTATCTGGCCATCCTGCAGGACACAGAGGTGAGTTTCTGTCTGATGTGTGTCTGTGAGTGTTTTAACACACACATGCTCAAAACTCTCTCTCGATAGTCGTTTTTTACATTTGCATTCCTGAACATTTTTAGAGCATTTCAGGGGGACTGCCACTGAAATCCTCCTGATATGTCTGTTCACACCTCACAGCAGTAAGACTGTCCTGGTCAGATAGGAGGGGGAGCAGGAGTCTCCTGAGGCAAAAAATTACGTAAAAAATGACAACACAGTCGACTATAATTTGCTGAAGTGAGAATATTTGCCTTAACATCAATGCTATGTGTTGTTCGACAGAATCACAAAATCAAAAGAGTGGAGAACAACATACTGATGAAAAGAAAACGTAATGCAGAAGTTTAGTTACATAGAGATCGTACCGGTGGGGCATGTGCATACTGTATATGGTCATGCACGTCACCACCACATCGCTCGAGGTGAATTCCACTGATAATATCCTGCATTTTCACGTCAGCTCACTCGAACTTTCTGTGAAAAAGAAAAATGGTGGCTGGAAATCCTATGGTTAAAGTCTGAGTAAAAAAAAATTGGCTATTTGCATTCACACATGCATCTCACTCCGAAAACTTCAGTTTTTCAGGAATTTTGTGCAAAAGTGTGAAAGCACTAGACGTGAGCTGCAAGTGTGAACGCAAACTGCCAAATATTTCACCTCCACCATACCCTAGACTCTTCAGCCCTCCAGTTAAATATCTGTGTTAAGTCTGGGCTAGATGATGTGTAAACACAGCAGGAAATATTCAGGAAAATTCACTGTGAGCAAGCAGGCAATGTGACAATTAGATCACGTGACCGTGCGATCTTCCTGCATGTTGATAAAGCAGCTTGCAGTGTGAGGGGCATGAATAAATAATTGCAGTTCAGGAAGATTTCAGGGGCAGGGTATTGGAAATTTTTAAGACATTTTCAGGAGTGCATGTGAGCAAACAGCTTTTGCTTAACCCACATTCAGTGTGCATTAAAGGCTTTATATGTGATTTTTTGATCCAGCAGATGTCGCCCTTGAGCACCAGCATGAAACCAAAACAACTTGCGCTGCATTGTTGTGTTAGCATGCTAATGCTAGCGACCTTTATTATGCTCGTATCTTCACACTGCATGTAAATTTACCTGAAATGAGCTAGAAACACAGTTAAGCAGTGAGTACAGTATGTTATTCTTATTTTCTCTAGTCCCTCAATTAAACAACTTTTATACATGAGGGGAGGAGTCAGCCGGCCGTCCAGGCGATGTAAACAAAGTGAAGATAGGACTCTGAAAACTCTGAAAACATCACAGACAGTGGGACTCGGGTGTTACACCCATTGTAGACAGTCATGACTCACAGAGTTATTTTCAGAGGATATACTTGATTTATATTACATTTAAGTGTCACAAAATCACATATAAAGCCTTTAAGTGAATGAAAATTGTGGAGATCATAACTCAGGAGTCACTCCAGACCCAAACGAAAAGGGAGAGAGAATTCATGAATGATCACGAGATGACTTTATGTGACATTACAGTCGACCTGGAGAGGAAATTAAGTTTACAAATGCAAAGCTATCTGCTAATGATAGTGCTCGTGTGGTTTGCAGAGTAAGTGGAATTTTAATGCTAACCATGGTTCGATTAAAGCAGGCTTTAAACCAAATTGAACAGTTGAGATCTCTGTGTGTTAAAGTGCAACTTAACACCAAACACATTTTTAATGCATGGAAACAACTTGTCAATCAGATGAAGCCCTGCCATGACTCCTCGCCTCTGCTTTATGGTCTATTTGACTCTGTATGGGACCATCATTTAAACAAATAAATAGGATAACAAAGAGTAAGGTGTAGACCTGCTCTATTATAAAGTGTCTTGAGATAACATTTGTTATAAACTTGCACTATAATAAAAATTGATTGATAATTTACGAAATAAACATCATGCTGTATTAAGAAGACTTGAACCTACAGAATGAGACTAAAAAATGATCAGGAAAATGTCAAATGAGGGAATAAATCATCTGTGAAGAAAGATCAATTTATCATAGACTTCTATACAATCAGACTTCTTTGTACGCTCAGTGGAGGCGCCCCCTGCTGGACATCAGAAAGTATAAAGATTAAAACACTTTCGGGCTTTTCAAGATTGTTTAAATGTGTCATCAAAAACTATATTCCAGTTTTTGTTTGGCTATGATAAACCTGACATGTTAAGACATTTCACTTCAGATCTAAGAGTTAAGGCACCCAGCTAACTCTGTCCCATGACGAAAGCTTTCTTTTTTCTGTTCCAGTATGAGTTCAGTCTGGAGAACTGGGTGCTAGCTGGTCTGCAGAGCGGCTTGTCCAGCCAGCCTTGCCCTAAGCCCCCCTTCTCCTCATCGGGCCAGCAGCCATCTTGTCCTCCATACTGGATGATGTTCAGCAGCCCTCAGCAGAGCCGACTGGCCAGTCGTCACTGCTCTGACTTCTGGGAGCCCAACCCTCGCCAGCGCTCCCATAGCCTCAACCTCATTGTGCTGCGCTCTAAGACTGCCATCTCCGACTCTGAAGAGGAGGCAGAGAGCGCCAAGAAGGCCAAGGCCCGTCTGTCAGTGAAAACCGGCTCAGTTGGAAAGAGTCCTGCTAATCCAGGTCCAAAGAAAGCACAGAAAGCTTTTGTCCCAGACCTCCTGCACCCCCCAGCATGCCTTAGCAGTCTCCCACACCAGCGGAGGAAGAACCTCCGACAGTGCTCCTTGTCCGGGATTGACCCTTCCAAATTTACACACAAAACAGACAGCCAGTCCGAGAAGACCCCAGACACCAGGGCCCCCAACACCAGGGCCCCCAACATCAGAGCCAATACATTGGACAGGCTCCCCAGCATCAAACAGCCCAACACAACACGGACGGTGAGACACAGTTTCATGTCTTAAGTTTAAAGTTTTAGAGCTCTGTCAGGTTTGATACCACAGAAAGAAGAGCTCTAAAGTTGGATAGTAGAGTTGTGCAATATTTCCTTTTGCTCTATTATCAGAGAGTTTGTCTTCAGCCCTTCAGGACAGCTGATTTATCTTTCTTCAGTCACAAAACAAAAATGATTTGAGTGTGATACCAGCGCCGGCTCAAGACATATGCAGACGCTTCTGAGGCAGCAAATGTTTTGCATGCATTTGATGATGTTAAAAATTAGCACACTGCCGAATTTATTCACCTCTCTCTCTACAATTCACTTAGCAGACGCTTTTCTCCAAAGCGACGTACATCAGAGAGTAAGTACAACACAAGCAAGGATCTAGAAAAAAAGGGAACAATGTCAGTAAGAGCAAACGATCAGCTTTGAGTCTGATTGGACACACAGGTGCTGACAGGAAGTGACCAGAGGCAAAGCACAACATTGACGGCAGTTCTTGAGATCTCTAATCAGTATAGAAACCATCTTATAAGTCATTGTTATCAAACAAAAATCATCGTCATTACCATCATCATCATCAATAATATGGAGACCATCATCATTAAGTTAGTAGGTATTCATGAAAGAGCTGGGTCTTTAGCTTTTTCTTAAAGGTGCAGTAGGACTCTGCAGATCCAATTGAGTTTGGAAGTTCATTCCACCACCGGGGGGCGACAGAGGAGAAGAGTCTAGTCAGAGACTTAGGACCCTGTTGTGAAGGTTGGATCAGACACCTTTCATTGGCAGAGCGTAGTGGGCGGGAGGGAGTGTAGACCTGGATCAGAGAGTTAAAGTAAGGAGGAGACGTTTTTGTGTCTGTTTTGTAAGCGAGCAGCAGAGTTTTAAATTTGATGTGAGGAGTAACTGGGAGCCAATGTAAGGAGATGAACAGAGGAGTGACATGTGCTCTTTTAGGAAGGTTGAAGACCAGTCATGCTGCTGCATTTTGTATCATCTGCAGAGGTTTGATAGTGCATGTACTCTCTCTCTCTCGCTTTCTCTCTCACTCACTCAACCACCCAATCACCATGGGAAAGCAAGCCGGTGTAATACTAAGTTCTTCCAGAACTTTTCACTTTTCAATGCACAACAATCTCATAAAAATCACTATAAGTCCAAACCAAGAAAAGACCTTGTTGGTAGGAACAGCAGGGTTTTTTCAATGTTGTGCCATGCAACAAAGCAACTGTTGATAGTACCAACAGAGTGCATAACATGTTAATCCACCTTTTGGCGTCCAAATCACTACACCTGCCCATTGTCATCAGTCTCAGTATGTGTAACTTTCCTATGTGGAGGGATAGTCCCTGAACTCAGAGAACCAAGGTCACGGTTTAACGGATGGTCGGCTTTATAAAAAAAATGAACAGTCTGTGTCTTTCATGTGTAACCAAAGCAACAGAGACTCAGTCAAAGCCCCATTTTGTGATTCGTTAACAAGCATCTAATTACAAAAATGATGGAATTGAATATTTCTTAAACCTGTTTGTAGAATGTTTAAACTTTGTCGACTGAGAGCGAGAGCTGAAGGAAAGAACCCAAAGAGAGAAACTTCAGTGACATGTAGTATCCTGAGAACACCACAGGAGGGCGCCATATTTCATATTCTACTCTCTAAACGTGGTAGATCATTTGTTGGTGAGATATAATGTTTATAAGAGCAGTGTTAACTGCGAGAGGTAGCCTTGAATCACCACAGTGTTCTATTCCACTTCCACATAATCACTCATGTTACTGTTTAAACACAGCTATGTGACTTGATATATGGTAATATTTGATCGTCCTTTACCTCTCTCTATGGGTGCCTTGTCTCTGTAAGCCGAAGGAGGAAAATCTGAGCCATCTCATTTCCTGAATGTTTTTGAGGATCTGCACTCTAAAAATAGAGCGTGTAAAGTCTGCTCTCTGAGTCCAGCCGGGTTCAGACCTTCATGAGGATTACAGATGAACGTCTGTAAATGTCTTTCTCAGTAGAGCTGGTTCAGCTTTACACAGTGTTACATTCAGATACACACACACCTCTCTCTCACACACACACACACACACACACTCACTACGGTCTCTGTCTCCCCTCTACAGTCTTTGAGCCCTGACTCCTGCATACAGCCTCCTGCAGCCCCCCTGCGCTGTGCTCTCACCTCGTCCTTAGACTCTACAGCAGAGCTTCTGTCTGCTCTGAGCTCAGAGGAGAGAGAGCTGCTGGGAGCTATCACCGCCCGGGGATACCCTCTCCGTACCGCCATCATCGCCCTGCAGAAAACAGGCCGGCAGACTCCAGACCAGGTTTGTTTGAATCACAAACCCCCCTCCTCACTGCCCCCCTGGACCAGCTTGGTCTGATAGTCTGGTCTGTTGACAGTAAAAACAATGGACAACACATTGCTGCCAATGAAGCCAAAATATCCCTGTCGTGGGTGCAGACATTTAAGCTGGTGAGGTGTATCCGTGCCAAAGTTGAACAGTAGAGCCCATGCCACAGTATTCACACCTGTGGAATCATATTTGTGCCAAAAAAATCAAAGTGACACTCATTGGCCCCCACTTATCAAACGTACGTACGGCAGAAAAATGGGTGTGCAGTCATTTCCACGCAAAGTTCGGCACTTATCAATTTGGACGTGAGCGGAGGGTACGCTCAAATCTCACACCACGTCTCAGTTCGTGTACGCACGTTTTCAACTCAGTGTGGACTTGTGGTGCAGCGAATCTGTCTGTCGGAGAATAATTAGATCATACTATAACAGTGCTTGTTAAGACGGATAGATAGAGGTTCACAGATTTACTGTTAGATAAGATATCTCAAATGTATTTTATATTACACTCCACCTCAAACGATCTCTGTAGGCTACATCGCTTTTTAAATAATGTTGAGCAGCGCGAGCTATCAGGTGATTTCTTTAGTTGTGTGTTTTATTTGATTAATTTTTGTTTAATCGATTTACTTACTAAGATTAAAGATAAGAGGCTGCTTTCAGTAAATACATGTTAAACATTCATGCGCACAGGAATATCACTGCAGAAAATACTAAGACAAATTAAAACAGAAAAACTAAAAACAGTTACTTTAAAAGGCCAGACAAACTTCCAGAGGATAGTAAATACAACTTTTAGCCTCTGAAATATGAAATATTTAGGTATACAGAACATCAACATTAGATCATAACTAATCGGTATGTCCGGAGATTAAACTAATAAATATGCTGATGTGCCACATGCGTAATTGCACACAGCAGACGCTCTGAGGCCAGAGACTACATGTGACATAATAACGAATAAAGAAATCCGTGGGCTGTAAGACAGACAACACTAGGCTACATTGTAGCGATCGTATGGTCTGACCAGGTTTTTTAAACTTTTTTAAAAAAGTATTTTAAAAAATATATTATAGCCTAGATTATGTACGTTACATATCAAATTAAATTAAATATTAAAAACTCTGCTGGAGTTCGGTTATCCACACCGACACTGTTGAGATTTCATGCAGGCTCATTTCTTCTGAAGCTCTTTAATCCTACATTTCAGGTTGCCAGACAACACAATGATATTCCTCTTTACTTTTCTCTGTTATGATGTCACTCAGGTCATATCTCGTTTCTCTTTTTTGCCGTATTACGTGTCTCCATGCCGTAAACTCTGGGGGCGAGGACAGCTGAACCGTGAATAAATAGGGGCGTGGTATTTAAATGACTATTTAAATATTTTAACGTTTCCAGCCGCCACACTTATCAACACTCGGTCTTGCGTACGCACGTTTCATAGGTCCCATGTGGACCCTGTTGTACGATGGTAAATGGACTTGAGCTTATATAGCTCTTTTCTAGTCTTCCAACTACTCAAAGTGCTTTTACACCACATGTCACACTCACCCATTCACACACTGATGGTAGTGATCACTATGTAGTATCATCCATCAGAAGTAACTAATCATATTCATACACCACCACTGAAGCAGCGGGAGCAACTCAGGGTTAAGTGTCATCGGACATGTTGCCCAGCTGGGGATCGAACCCTCAACCTTCCGGTTAGGCGACGACTCTACCAACTGAGCCACTCAGTCGATGATTTCTACACCAAAATCTGCGCTGGTTTCTACACCAGATTGATAAGTGAGGGCCATTGTGATGAAAGTGACAGTCTGACAGAGTGGGAGTCGTCTGTCAGTCAGAAACACGTTTTACATTCATAATGACCATTAATGGTCGTATACGGTTTAAAAATGTTATGGATCCTGTTTTGCTGAAATGTTTAAACTGACAGATGTTAACAGTCTGTTTAAATGTCCAACGGTCCGTTTAGTGTCTTTTTAATGTCCGTCTTTTCTCCGTTATTAAACTCCGCTGATGTTGATAAATTTCACTTCTCATGCAGACGGGGGTGGGTCTGTCAGTAAAAAAGACTTCCTGGAACGTCCGGGGCATTGAGCTGTCACTCAAAAACTCATTAGCCAATGGGTACACAGTCCTCAAAAAGCCCAACCACTTGAGAGATTTATGCCAGAATCGCAAACAAAAAGTCTGATCAGTGAGAAAGAAAAAGAGGGAACTGTAAACAAAAGGACTGATGATAAGAAAAAGTAAAAAGCCGATTATTTACACGTTTACACAAATATTTAGTTGCAAGTAATTTTTTTTTTTGCTTCAGTGAGATTATTTCTCTCTCAAAGTCTTAATTTTTTGTTTGCAAATTAAGAAGTTTTGTTTGATTTTTTTGGCACAAATATGACTCCATACACATCCTGCCAATTCATCTAACCTAAACACACATTTAAGTTATCCACAAACATCAGAGCTCCAGGTGGGTACAGTCCACAGCAGAACAGATTCTTGTGTCAGTTTGAAACAGACACTCATGGTTAAGGGGAAACTTCAATAAATGTTCCGTTTTCTCTCACTTTTCCTTCTCTACTCTGATAATGTGGTGAACACAGGTGCATTTTATACAGCATTTGTAGCAATAAATAACTAATCAAAAGAGACTTCCCCAAAAAAAGGGTCTGGGTTTGAGAAATTGACATGTATGTCAATTTTCTTGTCCCATCTGTTAACATGGAGGAGGCAGGGTTTATGACCTGTACTGCAGCCATCAGAGAGTGGCTTTACTTCAGGCATTAGATTGTGCTATTCTTTATACAGTCTATGGTATGTACACGTTAATAGAAAACAACAGAGGTCAGGGGAAAAACCGCAGGCCCTCGTGAAGTGAACATTTCAATTGTAGATATAAATAAACATAACTGTGGGTGGGAGTGAAACTGAAATCAAACTAAGCCTTTGTAAGCCTGTGTAAAAATAGAGCAGAGAGTTTCCACGGTCACTCTGTGCTGTGTTTTCCCACAACACAATCTGAACTCCGAGTAACCATGAGCTCAGGGTCACTGAGAAAGGTTGGGAGCAGGAAGTGATTTTTTTAAATGAAAACAGGAGGAGACAGAGAACAAACACTGCAGGATGGGTGGATTTATGTGTTGTTTTTAGACTTGTGGCAGACAAAGAGACATACCTGTAAGATGTATTTCTTAGGTCTCTTATGAGTAATAACTCAGAGAATCTCTCTGTCTGCTGTCTGCCTTTTAAAGTTTCCAGACCAGCCTGTTAGGCCCTCTGCCCGTCAGTCAGTGTTTACCTCTGTGTGTGTGTGTGTATACCTCTGTGTGTGTGTGTGTGTGTGTGTATACCTCTGTGTGTGTGTGTGTGTGTGTTTACCTCTCTGTGTGTGTGTGTTTACCTCTGTGTGTGTGTGTGTGTTTACCTCTGTGTGTGTGTGTGTGTTTACCTCTGTGTGTGTGTGTTTGTGTGTACCTCTGTGTGTGTGTGTGTGTGTCAGTGTTTACCTCTGTGTGTGTGTGTGTGTTTACCTCTGTGTGTGTGTGTGTGTGTGTGTGTTTACCTCTGTGTGTGTGTGTTTACCTCTCTGTGTGTGTGTGTTTACCTCTGTGTGTGTGTGTGTGTGTGTTTACCTCTCTGTGTGTGTGTGTTTACCTCTGTGTGTGTGTGTGTTTACCTCTGTGTGTGTGTGTGTGTGTGTGTGTGTGTGTGTTTACCTCTCTGTGTGTGTGTGTGTTTACCTCTCTGTGTGTGTCAGTGTTTACCTCTCTGTGTGTGTGTGTTTACCTCTCTGTGTGTGTGTTTACCTCTGTGTGTGTCAGTGTTTACCTCTGTGTGTGTCAGTGTTTACCTCTGTGTGTGTGTGTGTGTGTGTGTGTGTGTGTGTTTACCTCTCTCTGTGTGTGTGTTTACCTCTGTGTGTGTGTGTTTACCTCTCTCTGTGTGTGTGTGTGTCAGTGTTTACCTCTGTGTGTGTGTGTGTGTGTGTGTGTGTGTGTGTGTGTCAGTGTTTACCTCTGTGTGTGTGTGTGTTTACCTCTCTGTGTGTGTGTGTTTACCTCTGTGTGTGTGTGTGTTTACCTCTGTGTGTGTGTGTGTGTGTGTGTGTGTGTGTGTGTCAGTGTTTACCTCTGTGTGTGTGTGTGTGTGTGTGTGTGTGTTTACCTCTCTGTGTGTGTGTGTGTTTACCTCTCTGTGTGTGTGTGTGTGTGTGTGTGTGTGTGTGTTTACCTCTGTGTGTGTGTGTCAATGTTTACCTCTGTGTGTGTGTGTGTGTTTACCTCTCTGTGTGTGTGTGTTTACCTCTGTGTGTGTGTGTGTGTTTACCTCTGTGTGTGTGTGTGTTTACCTCTGTGTGTGTGTGTGTGTGTGTGTGTGTGTGTGTGTTTACCTCTGTGTGTGTGTGTGTGTGTCAGTGTTTACCTCTGTGTGTGTGTGTTTACCTCTCTGTGTGTGTGTGTTTACCTCTCTGTGTGTGTGTGTGTTTACCTCTGTGTGTGTGTGTTTACCTCTCTGTGTGTGTGTGTCAGTGTTTACCTCTCTGTGTGTGTGTGTGTGTGTGTGTGTGTGTGTGTGTGTTTACCTCTGTGTGTGTGTGTGTTTACCTCTGTGTGTGTGTGTGTGTTTACCTCTGTGTGTGTGTGTGTGTGTGTTTACCTCTGTGTGTGTGTCTGTGTTTACCTCTGTGTGTGTGTGTGTGTATGTGTTTACCTCTGTGTGTGTGTCTGTGTTTACCTCTGTGTGTGTGTGTGTTTACCTCTGTGTGTGTGTGTTTACCTCTGTGTGTGTGTGTGTGTGTGTGTTTACCTCTGTGTGTGTGTCTGTGTTTACCTCTGTGTGTGTGTGTGTGTGTGTGTGTTTACCTCTGTGTGTGTGTGTTTACCTCTGTGTGTGTGTGTGTGTGTGTGTTTACCTCTCTGTGTGTGTGTTTACCTCTGTGTGTGTGTATGTGTGTGTGTG